TGTCTGCCTAGGTTATCCGTATGTGAAGAGCCGGGAAGTTGCCCATTTGGCTATCGAAACCATATGATGAAGCAACCGCTATGGTTTCCAGATGGATCAAAACATGTACAGTACGTAGCACAAATGATAGTCCAACTGTGAAACAACGGATGAAGTTTCAGCTTATCCACAGAAGGCTCGGTTGGCATTTGCTAACTTGAGACATCTGTGGCGCAGTCGCGAAATCCGGCTGTCCGTGAAATGTCGAGTGTATGCTGCGGTAGTTCGGCCAGTACTGTTACACGAAGCAGAAACTTGGCCTTTAAGGAAACAGGATACAGATAGGCTGGTAGTGTTTGAACATTGTTGTCTACGCAGCATTGCACGAATCGGGTGGGGCTGCCAGACGAGCAATCTTGGGATTAGGCAGGTAGTGGGTGGAATAAAGACAAGGGTGCTCAAACTAAGACCTAGCCTGAGGGCATGAAAACCTTAACCAGTAGTCTGGGTCACACAGGTCCTGTTGGGCTCCTTGGATGGCGACCTCGGGATCAGCGTAATCAATGGTTAGAGACAGAGTGACATGGCTAGGAGTCGTAAACAATGGCGTTCGCGCATCTCCTCAATTTCTTTGTAACATTAGTTCACTGAAATTCTCAATTTTCTCTTCGATTCTAATTTCAACCTTCATGTCTTTCTCCTACGGTTCATCCAACCGGGCAGCTAAAAGACATCAACCAAAACCGGCCCAGGAAAGGGTATAGTTAATGGTTGTACAAACTGAAACTGTAAAACAGTGGCTGACTACTTGTCAATAGTTAATTTTTTTATTACACGCTTTCTTCTGATGAACAGTAGACGAGGTAAACCCCATCAGTTCAGTTCAGTTTCTTTAACCATTAACCATGCACTATCGTGCGCCGGTTTTGGTTGCTATCTTAGCTGTCCATTTGCATGAATATGAGGAGAAAGACAGGAACGGTTGAAAATAGGATCGAAGAGAAAATCTAGGATTTCATTGCATTAATTTTGCAGAAAAATCGACAAGATGCACGAGACCTGTTGTTCAGTGATGGAAACCTGTAACCTAAGCCCCAGAACTTGGAGTGGTGAACCACATAGAGCCCCGATAGGATAGGCGCTGTATTGAACCGGACGACAGCAAAGCTGCCTACCACCAAAGTTGGGTGGCGGTGGCGGGGCTCAAACCTCGGCCCATAGGGTCCAAAGCACGCCTGTGGCAGCGACCAAACCACTGCGTCAAGTGCGTCGCTAGTACGCAACGAGCTAATCAAAAGAAACAATAAACCGACAGCAATGTCCAAATCATCTGAAACTACCAAATAGTAATTTAGATCACTTTTCGAATTACTAAATTGCGAAATCTGACAACAATCTCTCATGATGTCGAAAAATTGAAATATTTTATCCACTTCTCACCTACCCAACGAGACAAAACGTGACCCCCCTGCGGTAAATTGACAAACTTAGATGTAAAGAAACCCCGTGCAAATTTTTTTAAACAATGATCTGTACTTACTATGACCATGTTCTTTTGAAAAATATAGGGTTTTGGAAGCTACATTTTAACATCCAGACACCGTTAAAAAGCGTACATTGTGTTAGCTTCGTGCTATGGTGGAGCAAGGATTTCAATCAAAAGCAAACCATCCACGATCAACCTGTTAGTGTAGATTCGGGTCTTAAAACTTAGCTTTTTACTCAGTTAGTCAGATGCATGATTACGATTGTTTTTTTAATCGAGAAGGCAACCGAATGAAAAACCGAAGTGCGAAATTTTATCAATCTCTGGTTTATTCCGACGAAGATGTCAAGAGAAAAACACAAAAGTGACCACACACACCCCCG